AAGCAAGAACATGAGTGGGAAAAGGTGGCAACCGAACTGGGCTGGAGCCGTAGCAAAGGAGCAGGATCACTTAACCGGGCTGGCGGATTACTCTTGCTATGGAAAGAAGAAATCAAGATCACTATCATTGATACAACAAGGAACTACATAGATGCGTGGATTGGAAGTGACGGCGGGGACAGCAAATGGCGGTTCACTGGGGTTTATGGATGGCCGGAGAGAGAGAACAAACAAAATACATGGGAGATGATGAGTAGACTACACCAAAGAGACAAGGCACCTTGGCTGGTTTGTGGCGACTTTAACCAGGTATTGGGGTACGAGGAGAAGAATGGGGAAAATCTGCCTAACATACAGAACATGGAGGATTTCCAAGCTTCGCTACATGAATGCCAGCTTGAGGACCTAGGCTATTATGGATATCCGTTCACTTGGGATAATGGAAGAACGGATGAAGGCTTCCTGGAGGAACGGCTGGATAGAGCTGTTGCAAACGAGGAATGGAAACATATGTTCCCTGAAGCAAGTGTTTATCATTTGGATAGGTGGGTTTCTGATCACCTGCCAATTGAAATCGTATTATCAAATGAAGAGGATAAAGTGAGGTGGGGGTGGTACTTCCGGTTCTAACCGTTCTGGAAACAACACGAAGGCTGCCGGACAGTCATTGAAGAAGAATGGAACAAAGACCCTACGCTAAGTGTAGAAGAACGGATTAAGAACTGCGAAAAAAAGTTGATACAATGGAGCAGGGAGACTTTCGGCAGCCTAAAAAAGAGGAAGAGGAAAGCAGAAAGAGCCTTGGCAATCATTGCAAAACATAGAAAAAACAAGGCAGTGGTACTACAGAGAAGGGCTTTGGAGAAAGAACTAAATGAAGTCCTAAAGCTGGAAGAGATGTTGTGGAAACAAAGGGCGCGCGTTGACTGGCTTAAAGAGGGAGACAAGAACACCAAGTTCTTTCATAGGAAAGCTTCGGAGAGGCGTAAGCGCAATACAATCAGGGAGTTGAGAAACGAGGAGGGGGCTGTTTTCAGAGGACAAGAGGATGTATCACAGTGCATCACCGACTACCTAAAGAACCTCTTCCAGGCAGGAGCAGTATCGAATATAGAAGAAGTCCTAGAAACAGTTGAAGTGAAGGTCACAGCCCAAATGAATACTAATCTGATGAGAGACAGTGAGGAGGTTTGGGGAGCTTTGAAGACTATGGCCCCGAACAAAGCACCGGGAGTGGACGGAATGTCAGCACTCTTCTATCAGAAAAATTGGAGCATAGTAGGGGAGGCTATTACGCAAGAGATCAAACAGATTTTTACTACTGGTCTAGTCCCACCCGAAATGAACAAGACGTTACTGGTACTAATACCGAAGAAGAAAAAGCCTGAGTTTGCAAAGGAGTTCAGACCGATTAGCTTATGCAAGGTACGCTACAAGATATTCTCAAAAGTACTTGCTAATCGACTGAAGCTCATACTCGATGAAATCATCACGGAAACGCAAAGTGCGTTTGTGCCGGGGCGAAACATTTCTGATAACATCATGGTCGCGTTTGAATGTTTTAACGCGATGAAAAATAGAAAGGAAGGCAAAAAAGGGTACACAGCAGCGAAACTGGACATTGCGAAGGCATACGACAGGGTAGAATGGAGTTTTCTCAGAAATATCATGTTAAAGCTGGGTTTTCAGGAAGAATGGGTTAATCTCGTGATGAGAAGTGTATCGACGGTGTCGTATTCAGCTTTAATTAATGGACACCAATCGGAGGTGTTTACACCTTCACGGGGTTTGAGACAGGGAGACCCAATCTCTCCCTATCTGTTCTTGTTGTGTGCTGAGGGACTCTCGGCACTGACAAAAAGGGCAGTGGAACAGGGGAAACTTCATGGTTTGAAAGTTAGCCGAAATGGACCGATGATTACTCATTTATTCTTCGCAGACGACATCATATTTTTCTTTGAAGCAAAGAGAGAGGAAGGATCAGTGTTAAGGGGTCTGCTGGAACAGTATGAGGCAGCCTCGGGTCAACAAGTCAGCTTACAAAAATCGGAGCTTTCATTCAGTACAAATGTAAGTGAGGAAGACAGGAGAGAATTGGCCTTAATACTAGGGATGACAAGGGTGCAACACCATGACAAGTATTTAGGACTCCCTACGGTAATTGGCAGATCAAAGAGAGCGGTTTTCTCACAACTAATTGACAAAGTGAGAAAAAAGATCAAGATGTGGAAAAGCAAGCTCTTATCAAATGCAGCGAAAGAAGTGTTGATCAAATCTATTGCACAAACACAGACGCTTTATGCAATGTCGGTGTTTCAGATTCCCTTGGGAGTGATCAACGAGATTCAAAGCTTGATTGCAGGATTCTGGTGGGGAAGGAAGAAGGAAGAAAGGAGAATTCATTGGCTGAGCTGGGAAAAACTCTGCAAACCTAAGGAAGAGGGAGGTATGGGATTTCGCGACCTACATGGTTTCAATATCGCACTACTAGGCAGGCAAATCTGGAATCTATTGAAAAAACCAGACAGTCTGGTAGCACGAGTATTGAAAGCGAAATATCACCCGCATTGCGACATCCTCCAAGCAGAGGTAGGGAACAGCCCTAGCTACATATGGCGCAGCCTTATGGCAGCCCAGAAACTTATTAGAGAAGGTACAAGATGGAGGATTGGGAGAGGGGAAGAGGTAAGAATTTGGTGGGATAGATGGATTCCAGCATCCCCGAACTTCAAAGTGAGCTCAACAGTAGCGGGGATGGGTTTGGATGCTCGAGTATCAGAACTGATCGATCCTGAAACGAGGACATGGAGATCAAACATCCTACAAGCCTGTTTCAACCCTATTGACAGAGAGAGGATTCTACAAATCCCACTACCGAACCATCCCCTAAGTGATAATCGCTGCTGGGGACATGAGAAATCTGGAAAATATTCCGTGAGATCAGGTTACAAGGTGTGGAAAGAGAAGCAGAACCAAATAGAAGGAGAACCCTACATCCCAGTTGACTGGAAGAGACTATGGCACTTGGAATTACCCCCAAAGGTGAGAATTTTTGTGTGGAGATGGGGATGCAATATACTACCAACAGGGACAAATCTGACGAAAAGGGTAAGAGAGGCCTGTGACGAATGTCCATTCTGTGGGTTGAGGGAAACACAGGAGCATATCACAAGAGACTGTGACTGGACAGGAAGAGTATGGCGACCAAGCGAAATAGCGGGGCTCTTCAGGCTAGGGGAGGGGAAGAGCAGTGAAGAATGGCTGTGCGAACTTCTGGAGAAAGCATCGGATGAGGAACTTAGCCAGATCTTAATGGCACTATGGTTTATATGGAAAGAACGGAACAACCACTTGTTCAACAACCAAAAACTTGAAGAGTGGGAAGTGATTCAGAGATCGCAAAATTACCTGGAAGACTTTCGCCTCTGCCAACAGCAACCTCGACCTAATTTGCAGACGAACAGGGATTACAGCTGGGAGAGACCGCCACCGGGCTGGTGGAAAGTAAACGTGGACGCCGCGATCCTGAAGGAAGGAGGAACTGGCCTGGGACTGGTAGCGAGGAGCAGCGAGGGGGATTTCAAAATGGGGGCGCTCTATCGGACGCGAGTACGGTGGCCGCCGGAAATCGCCGAAGCTCAGGCCATCCTATGGGGACTGCGACGGGCAAGACAGCACATCGAGGGGCCGATCCTATTGGAGACTGATTGCCAAACGATTGTGAAGAAATTGGAAGGGGAAATCCAGAGTGATTTGGAGATTGGGTTCTTATGCGATGAGATAAAGGAGAAGATGGAAGAAATGGGAAATGTAAAGCTGCGATTTTGGGGGAGAAAGGGGAATGAGGCAGCGCATCAGATGGCAAGAATGAGTGGCCAGTGGGAAACAGACGAGATATGGTTGAACCAAGAACCGGTTTTTATTCACTCAATTCTCTTGAAAGATTGTAACAGTTTCAGACCCAGCTTTTCGCATTAATTAATATTCAGGCAAGTTATAAAAAAAAAAAAGATTATAGAGAAAGTTATGTGAGGAGAGAGAAAGAGAATAATCAATTATTAATATCAATTATATTTACATAATAATCTTATTTATCCTCAACTACCTATTAACTACTAATTCTTTATTAACTATCTAATCCACTATCAACCGATAGAATGACTTAAACAATATGCTTAAGCTTTTGGGCTTAAGCACAGGAACCCGACCTCTTCTCCCCTCATTTTATCTGTAATTTCTTCCCCATTCTTCTAAGTTCTCAATCCCTTACCTTCAATTGTCTTGTATTAGTATATCTCTTCTCTGTCTCTATCTCTATCAATTGCCCCAACTAAGCAGGTTTCTTACAGAAGCCAAGGAGAGGTCAGAACAAATTGCAGAGAAGTCAGGTGAGGACATGGATCAATGTTATGTTAAAGTTGCTTTAACTGCTCTAGCTATTAATAAGCCGTGAATAAGCAGCTTGCTGGTTCAGAAACTATCCGAATGAACGTTGATGGAAATAGAAAAAATAATGACTTAATAATCTATTTGTAAGACAACGATCGAGAGGATGAATGAAGTTCCAAAATTATGTTGAAGGCAAGTTAAAGTTTCCACCTAGGTTAGGGTTGATTGAATTTTTTTTTTTTACCAAATCGCAGGGTTGGGCAGCGATTTTGGACCAAACCGCCCTAACCCCATGCAGTCAATGAAACTGCTTCCAACCCAGGCGGTTATCGAGAAATGGTGGTATTTTTGGAAAATTTCGAAAATTAGTAATATTTTTGAAATTTTTTTCTTTTTTAATGGTATTCCTGAAAAAATCCGTAAATAAGCCCCACTTGCTAGTTCAGAAACTATCCGAATGAACGTTGATGGGAATAGAAAAAACAATGACTTAATAATCTATTTGTAAGACAACAATCGAGAGGATGAATGAAGTTCGAAAATTATGCTGAAGGCAAGTTAAAGTAGGTATGTCAGTTCTCAAGAGAACATGGAACTGTATTTTCCCAGCGCAGTAGTCTGAAAAGTTGCTGGTCCACAAAGGTACTGCGCCTCATTTTGGATAACTAATTGTTTCTCCGCTACCACTAACGAAAATTATAAGAGTCAAATCTCTAGTCTACTCAACTACTCAAGCCATTACATTCATCTCTGTGCATTGGACTATAACGTGTAGGTAGGGATTTAGGCCATCTACAGATCAGGTGGTAACAAAACTGGAACTATATACACCTCTCGACATCATTACAGTATCTTGACAAGAAATTAGATGGACGAAGTTACTCATATCTACTTGCATCCGCTCATTCCAACTCATCGGTTGAAGTCACCTCTTCCTCTAGCAGTTCAAAAGCATCAATTTCAGCAAAGTATGCTCTCTGTTGCTCAATGAAATTCTTATCTTCAATGTCATCACGAACATCTGTTGTGTGGCGCGTCTTCTACAATACGAAATGGACAATGAATTTGTATGTCAACATTGAGAAGTATGATAAGCAAAGCAGCCAAAAGATGTTTCAGACAAACTCAGCAAGAACCGCATAAAAGAAGAAGAAAAAAACAGCAAACCTAGGAAACCCCAATTTCAGCAACTAAAAACCGGATGGAAAAAGAGAACACATGCAAGAATCAAGAAGAAGAAGGTACTTTCAGCAGAAAGAGAACACTAAAGCTCAAAGTAACACAGAACGAACCAAGCACTAAGAGGGTAAATGTAACTCAAACGATGAGTGCACTACAGTACACAAGCATAGGTAACACAGAATGGATGATGCAGAAGCTGTTCCCAAAACATTTTAAAGCCAGCCAACTCCATCAGTCCTCCACACGTTTGAATAAAAGGCCGATCACAAAGCCAAAAGAATAAATCTAGTTTCCACAATACAAGAACCAGAGTATCCTACCTTTTTATGAGGTACCAGCAATGATTTGGACTGACCAGCACCTCCATCTTCATTTGCTTTGTCCCTGCATTCAATCAGTGAGACCAAGAATCAGCAGCAGCGAAAAAGGAATTCAAAAAACAAAGTATCCACTAAGAGCAGAATAACATTCACATCAAATACCAATTGAAATGATATCTAGTTTGCAGAGCTTACAATAAACAACAAAAACTTCAGTAGTTCCCAGGAAACGCAACAAAGAAAAACGCTCATGCTTCAGAACATAGCAAATGCGATAAAACTGTTGCGCTTATTCTAATGGAAGGTGATACAGAACAATTCATAAGATCCAAAATACTGCTCCAACTACACTGCCCACTGTTCAACAGGGAATAGAAAACCTGATATAAATTTTCTAAACTCGTCTCCACATCTTTTCCGTTCCATTATGTCTACCTTCCAAGAGTATAGAGATTTGCCACTGCCATTTCAATTTTGCAGTTGGTTTTACCAATCTAATCAGTGTATTTGCACTTCTCTAATCACAGTCCGAAAACAGAAGTTATCCCTAAATCAGAAACATACCTGCTAGACTGACTCTTTATAGCCGGCACATCAATTGCCTTCTCCTTGTCCTTCCTTTTGCTTCCGGACTTCCTCCGAACATAAACCGGAGACGGCTCCCAAACATCATCGCCACCTGATACACTTTCAGGCATGAGGAACTAACCACGGAAAAATTAAATCCGACAAAACCCTAGGTTCCCAAAACCGATTTCAGAACAAGCAAATCGACGAAGGCGGAAGAGAAAACCCAAAATTACCGACGGTCGAGGATTGATTGCGCTGTGGGCGAGCAGGCGTGGAAGTGGAGGGTCCTAGAACCGCGCTGGTAGTGGATCCGGCCGTGGATGGAACCTTATCGAGATGGGTCTCAGTGGGATTCGGATTGTCGCGGGAATGGAGAAGCTGCGAAGAGGAGGGAAACGATTTCAAGGGTTTCTTGAGAAGGTAAGAGGAAGACGAAGTGGAAGAACAGCTTGCAGAGGAGCCGACGGGTACAAGGGTGTTGCTGCGATCAGAGAGCGGCTTCCTTCTTCTAGAGCTGCTCCTAATTGTATTTTTGCGTTGAGCTTCCATCAATGCCGAGAACAGGTACAATTTCAGCGGCGATTTTACAGTCGTCGAACTGGTGACATAGGAAATGGAGGAGCGGAGTGGAAGAGAAAAGGAGTGCGGAGGAAGCTTTTCTGTTCTGCTGCAATGGCGGGAAATATCAAAGCGGAGTCTAGAGAAGACGGGAGAGCTTTAATAAGAGTTAATTCCAAGGATGGTCACTGAGTTTACTAAAAGTCTAAAATCGTTCATGTTTGGTCACTGTAAATATTTAATTTCATTCATGATCACTAAGATTAGTTCAATAGTTCAAGTTTGGTCACTCTCCGTTAGTCTCCGTTAGTTTTTGCTGATGTGGCAGTCAACTATTATAGTTGACCGTTAAATGAGTGACGTGGCCATTAAAAAAATAATAATATTTAAATATTTACAATTTACACCTCATTTTATAACTATTAAAAAATAAAAATAATGAGTGACGTGGCCGGATCAGGGACTTGATGGGGCGGATGACATTGCAGGAAAAGATCGGCCAGATGGTTCAGATTGATCACAAAGTCGCTTCAGCTGACGTCGTGAAAAACTACTTCATCGGTAAGATGACGATAAAAAAAAAAACAGATCGAGCCGCTTCTGCTCTGTTTTTTAGGGCAAATAAAAAAAAGACTGCAACTTTATGGGTTGGGGGACATGCAGGAAGTATATTGAGCGGAGGAGGAAGCGTCCCGGGCCAGAAAGCTTCGCCGGAGGAATGGATCAAGATGGTCAACGAGTACCAAAGGGGCTCCATGTCGACCAGGCTAGGGATTCCGTTGATTTACGGGATCGACGCCGTTCATGGTCACAACAATGTGTACAATGCCACCATTTTTTCTCACAACATCGGCCTCGGAGCTACCAGGTGAGTGATCAGTTTTCAATTTCATCACTCCCCCCCTTCCTTTTATTATTTCTGGTCGCGCGTCTCAAGAGTGATGAGCTGGATGGATGATTGTGGTGGTTTCCAGATCTGGAAACGTGTTGATTAAAATTCCCTTTGCGTCTCGGTATCGTTTGACGAAATCCAAAAATTCGTCGCAGAGGAATGGGTTGAGAACAGGACGAGGGAGAACTTTGTCCAGAATCGAGTTACTGAAGCCTTCGATTGACCAATTGGCTTCTGGGTTGTTGAAATCGGTGACGGGAGTGTTGTGGTTGTCCCGGAGATTATGGAGATGGAGGGTGAGATTGAGGCATCCGGCGCCAGAGGTGTAGAAGATGTAGCTCGGGAGTCCGAATTCGTCGGCGACGTCGATGAATGTGGTGCAGAACATGTCCACGAGGAGCCCGGAGACGAGAGAGGAGGCCTAGACGAGAGAGGAGGCCTAGACGAGATTGGAGACGGCGTCGCGGACGTGGGATTTGTATGAGTCCATGATGAATTTGACGACGTCTTTGAGAGTGGGGTCGACGGCGTCGTTGGGTGGGAGGTCGACGAACTTGACCCGGTCAGAGAGCGCAGCGGCGGCGAGGGATTTGGTCATGAGCGCAGCGGCGGTAAGTTTTCTTTTTATTTTTTAATAGTTGTAAAATGAGGTGTAAATTGTAAATATTAAATTTTATAATTTTATAATTTTTTTAATGGCCACGTCACTCATTTAACGGTCAACTATAATAGTTGACTGTCACATCAGCAAAAACTAACGGAGACTAACGGAGAGTGACCAAACTTGAACTATGAACTAATCTTAGTGACCATGAATGGAATTAAATATTTGCAGTGACCAAATATGAATGGTTTTAGTAAACCCAGTGACCATCCTTGCAATTAACCCGCTTTAATAATTAATATACGTCAACCCTATTGCCGTCTTCGTAATAGGGAGCGGATGCTATCATGCTAACACACTTTAAGGGTTAGCACCGTCCTAACATTTTAACAAGGGCATTATAGTAATACACTCTCATATTGTATCCTTAGGTGTAAGTTAGATCCTAAAAAGTAAAAACCCACTGACTCGTCTCGGCCCTTTAGGGACGGGACTGATAGGGTCAGGGACGGGTCATGACAATTTTCAGCTCTATCCTTCCTCATTCTTATTCAATCTAGGGGTGGGCAACGGGACGGGACGGACGGGATACTCGTTCCGTTTGAAACGGCTATCCATGTCTCAAACCCGTACGGGACGGATAACGGGTACCCATACTACCCGTAAATACCCGTCCAATCCGACCAACTTCCACCTTAGACATCTTTTTTTTTTTTTGTAAGGGTGGACTTCTTTATTAGAACTGAAAAAACTTTGCAATTACAAGCTAGAACAGGAAAATAATTCCCAAGTTGCAGTCGCAACCTAACAAGCCATTACCAGCAAAATGTCTTGGCCAGAAGTTGCACAAGTTTAAATAAAGAAAAATAAATACACATTACCAAATAATACGTCTGCAGAATTAGGACACTTTTCATTTTGTTTCATCAGCAGGAGGCGAGTTGGGATGGAGTGGGTTTGGGTATTAGGATTTTGGACTAATGGATATAACGGGTACTCGTAATACTCAAACGGGTATTAACGGGTAACCCGCGAGTACCCAAAGTAGTGAATCTTGATCCCAAATCTCATCCCGTAAAAAAAATTACGGGTACTTGGGTACCCATAACTCTCAAAAAAGGGATGCGTACGGGTATACCCAAATACTCATTTCCCGTTGTCCACCCCTAATTCAATCCTAGCGTTTCATCATGTGCAATTGTCTCCCGCTCCCGTCTAAAAGGCAAGAGCAGCCGCAACTAGCTCCGTCACCCCGTCATTACCAAACATCGCCAGCGTGGCTCACAGTTCCTGCCTCCGTCATCCATCCGTAATTTTTCGAATGAGCTCTGCTGCCGTGACTTGGTACCCGAAAGCTGAAAGGTGGTTGGTGCCGGTGGACTGAGCAACGGCGGAATTTCATATTAAAATAAAGAGAAATCCAAGCCTCAGCCGGCAATGCCATCCATCGCTCGCCCGAGAGAGTGTCGCCTGAACAAAACAATTTGGAGACAGGCGACCGATTAGGAAAGCCGCAGGGGGAGGATTGTAGTCGACTATATTTCATGGATCTTCATCATGTAGTCCCGGTTTGCTTTATTGAATTTTCGGGTGTGTTTCAGAGGACTTGTGGTTTATTTGATAATGTTTGTGGCCTGCTTTTTATGATTTATGGTTTTATAGCTTGCTTTGTATGACTTGTGGGCTGCGTTAAGAAATTTGTGGAGTGCTTTAATAAACTTGTAGTGTGGTAAGTTTGTGGTCTAGATTTTTGTGGGGTTTCTTGTGTTTGTGAGGTGGATTTTGTGATCTACACTCCTCCATTTAATTTCACAAAAAACACGTGGAACCCCCTTCCCCCAAATTTTTATAATACCAAGTGTGTCCCTCCTTCCCTTCTGCTTCCTTAAATGTGGTCAACTCATTTAAATCAAAAACTCATCCAAACAAAAAAAATTCTGTTGATGTCGGGGATGTAGCCGACGTCAACCTCTTCAATCTTGGGACCCAAAGTGATTTGAAGTGCCCCTTTATCATAACCTTCCTTCATGGCGTTGCCTCATATCTCCTCCTACAAAAAAGGGCCTATCAGGCGAATCTCGACCAGGGCACCCTCTGAGGCTCAAGTTAGTCCCTAGTGCGTGGGATTGAATAGTTTACAAGGTGTTTGCAAGAGGTGAGCCCGGGAGATGAGTGTCACTGATTGCAGCGGACGCCCTCAGGGTACTTCCCCAGTCTCTTGCCTTACCTTCCACTGGAGAACATGAGCTGGTTATATAGTACCTGTGGGACAACAGGAGGACAGGTGTCGGCGCCGGAGATGAAAATAGGACACGTCATTGGACATGTGTCGTTTATGCCCGTCTGCACATGCCACGTGGTTGGTCAACCATGTCTTTGCCTAATGAGAACAACCTTGCCACATGGAGACTAATTGAGAAGAGGGCATGACACACGTGTAGGTGGGAGTGCAATCAATAGATCCAGGTGGGATGAGTTTTTGTGGATCCGGGTGCCGGAAGCAGGGGGCGATAGTGTCCCAAGCGTCGGGAGCCATGCGCAATAGTGTGTCGGCTGGTACCGGGAGCCACATGTGATATCGGCCCCAGGAGTTAAGAGATGGGGGCGATACTGGGCCCGGTAGTTGGGAGGAAGGCGAAGCCCGGGTGATAGAGGCGGTGAGCGATAGAGGGCCCGGGCACTGGGAATCGAACAAGAGGTGAAGCCCCGGCGCCGGGAGCCATAGCGGGCCTGGGCGTGTGGCGAAGCCTTGGTGTCAGGAGCCGGGAGCGATAGCAAGCCTGGGTGATAGAAACTGGACAAGAGGCGAAGCCCCGGTGTTGGGAGCCACGAGCAATAGCGGGCTCGGGCGTCGGGAACCGGACAAGAGGAGAAGACCCGACGCTGGGTGAGGAGGAAATGGCAATCTCGGGCACTGGAGGCCGGAAGCGATAGCAGGCGTCGGGAACTGAATGAGAGACGAAGCCCCCGCGTTTGGGAGACGAGGGCAATAGCGGCCAGGAGCGATAGCGGGCCCGGACACCGGGCACCTGACGAGAGGCAAAGCACCGATTTTAGGAGTAGGGGGAAATAGCGGGCCCGGGCATCATGTCTGGGTTCAACAATGCACCGGGGGAACCGTGCTCCGAGTGGAGGGAGGAACCAACCACTGGAGGCAATCGCGAGCCACTATATGATTTAGTGTTGGCGGGCCATCGCACAGTTGTTTACATACATGAGTCGGACGGGTCTGGTCCAATATTTCAATTGGGAGAGTCGTGGGTCGGGCTCGATCGTCGGTCCAGGTGCAATAGTGCATTGTTTGAGCAAATGGTGGGCTGATGAAGTAAAAATTATTTTTACTTTAGGTATATCAATTGTCCCCCTTGCTAGCGGGAATCTGAAGATTCTTAGGGGCAAGCATGATCTACCCCGCGATCAATACCCACATTTAATCTTGGGATCTTATTAGAAGACTACATATCTTTTTTTATTTTAATGTTGGTGAAAATTGTTTGGGAAGTGCATAAGTTTTGGGTTTGGGGAGAGAATTTTACCTTCTTATAACTTTGGCCTTAACTCTTATTGATTCCCATGAGCTTAATAGAAGCCTGTGCATTTTTGTTGAATTTTGGTCAAAGACCTTTTGAAAAAATGCACAAACCTTAGACTTATAGAAGAGAAAAGGGATTTTTCCAGAAATAGCACCTTTAAAAAAATTACAAAAATAGCATCCATTCCGTAGAAATTACAAAAATAGCACCCTTTTTTAAAAACTGAACCTCACTGGTGCGCTTTGCATGTAAACCGCACCCCCTGGTGCGTTTTGTCATTAAATCGCACCTTGGGGGTGCGTTTTAGATTTCTGGGCCAAAACCGCATCTTGGCCCATTTCATGTTTCCCATGGGTCAACTCTTTGATCCGCTCGATCCCATCAGCCTAAATCACATAAAAAGTTTAGCAAGATAAGACTAATGATGTGACAGAATGAAACAAGCAATAAATTTAATCTTATTAGACGGAATATACTTACCAATGCACCATCGGCCGCACCCTCCGGAGTCACGTACCGAACCGATGTTTGCCAATATCTATCCATGTATGGGTCATGATACCCCATTCGACCCACACTTGTTGGAGTGACAATATCCTAAAGTTGTCGGTTCTCCCATACTGCGATCATTTACGCCAACTTCGTGGACCAATTGTGAGTACCTTACCGACCATCTCGGTGGTGAAACGCCCTTTGACTCTCGGGGACTTCCAACAGAATGCACTGCTCCCGACCAAACTGACGAAGGCATCGATCCGGTAGCTGCCACTCCACGGTCCCTAAACAAATGAGAGGGACCCTCGTGCACCATTGCCCGATATTCTCGGGGAATTGCTGTAAATA